CTTAGTTTCTCCCTGTAATTTTCAAAGTATGGTCCTTGGACCAGCAGCATCAGCACACCTGAGAACATGCCCAAAATACTAATACTCAGGTCTACCCCAAACTTGCTGGTTCAGAAACTCTGGAGATGAGGCCATGGAGCTACGTTTTGGCAATGCATGGTACTTTCAATATTGGTCAGCATTCAGGAGAGTATTGAAAGTGCTAGGTGCATTAGGCTTGGCTAGATAATTTACCTTGAAGAAGCTAAGACTGACGTGGTATCTGATACTCACAAGCAGAGTTTTGTTCTGCTGTTATTTTTACCCCTTTCATATAAATGCAATCAGTAATGTCCCGAGAGAGATTATTTCTTGAGTTTTAATGAGTCCTGGAAAGAAGAGATAAGCAGAATGGAAACTGACTCACACTGTTCACACAGCACAGTAAGAGAGCAACTTTTGTGTGCCACTGAAAACTGGGAGTCATTTTTTACTATAGCATAACTTTGCCTAAACAATCTATTATAGCACTTTTAATCTGTCATATCGCCTCTATTTAGAACACCTTCTCTACTCTGCTCTGCTCCTCCCTCCAGTGCCCTCCCTCTTACTGTCTAGACTTGAATCCATGCTCATCATTCAACACTGAGCTCAATGAAGCCCTTTAACTTTCCCAGGGTGCCTCGTCACTCTCATCTTTAAGATCTCCTCTGTATCTAGAATACATTTCTGCTACAGACCTGGTGGCGTATAGACCTGATGGCATAGTGCTTATGTGTTCAGTTGAGATCCGAAAGGTCAGCAGTTCAAAACTACCAGGTGCTCCTCAGTGGGGAGAAAAGGGGGCTTTCTACTCCTGTAAAGAGTTACAGTCTTGGAAACTCATACGGTCGCTTTAAGTCGGTAGTGAGTTTGGTTTTATGGACCTATAATTCTGTCTCTGGTTCAATGTAAGGGGCCACTCCATTCAGTAGCACTATCCTTAGAATAATCACTTAGAAAAAGGTACTCAAGCTCTGGTTTACAGGGGGGAAGATTATGAATTAGAAAAGCCAAGCAACTTGTCCAAGTTTCTCAGTCCATCAACCACAGGGCTAGAGCTCCACCAGGTATGAATCTGGCTCTGAACTCAGGAATTATTACCCTGCCTGTATTAGGCAGGGTTCTCTAGAGAAACAAAACCAGGACACTTTTGTATGTATACACACACACACACACACACACACACACACACACACACACGAAATATAACAGCTAATTAGTCCACACAGCAGTACCGAGGGCTCAGTTCAACTCACTTCAGTGGAACAGTTAATATACTGGAAGTACTTCAACTTATGAGGGCTACAGGATCCAGGTCAGGGAAGCAGACAGCTGTCTTCCCTCATACAATGCAGGCAGACTTGGCCCACATGCAACAAACAACAGGGCAGGTAACCATAGTCAGCAGCTCAGGAGCTTGGGAAAGCAGAACTGCCACACAGATATCAGAACTGCCACACCAGATGGGATATCAAACTCAAGCAATGCAAGACAGCAGGATCCACCAGCCTCAAGCTCAAGCGATTTACACACCAGCAATGTGGTGGAGCAGATCTCAAAGGAACCTCAAGCTCTAGCAACACAATCCACAGTTTGGCTGTCCCACAGGTAGTGTAGCTCACAAGTTGAGGCAGAGAACTAGCTAAAGCAGCCCAAGCTGGTCCAATCACCAGAGAGCGAGAGAGGGGGGTGGGCCATGCTGAGCCATCTGTCTCTTTGCCCTCCAATCAAACTGCGACCTGATTAATCCCATATGCTCCTCCAATTGGCCAAGTTGGCACAATAAACCTACCTAACATACTGCCCTACACACCTAACCTTTTCTCAACACCAAGCTTTCGGATCTTCCCACTCTACTGGCAAGAGCAACAGTGCCTTTATCAACAACCTCTTTGACCTCTTCCCTTCTTCCCCTTTCCTCCTACTCAGCTATGCCCCACTGGCTGCGGGAGGCTTATGCTTCCTCATACTATGGGCATCAGGCTTGGCCAACAGCATAACTTGACTTGAAGGGTTTGCATCGTGGAGCAGGCTTCTTACCCCCAGGAGAGAGTCACTTTCTCTATGTGGGTGTATTTATTTTAAGACCCCTGGCAAAAGCACTGAAGATGCTAAAATAACTGGGCCCGTTTGCTGTTTCTCCAGGTTCTAGGCTATGCGGGCGCTGTGATGTAACAGGACAGCCAGATTCTTGCTGCCATCTCACTAAAGGAGAAACTTTAGGGAAGATCACTTGGAGTAGTTTAGGGTAGGAGGCAAGTAGCAGAGGGTTCAGAAGGAAGTAAGCCTGATACATGTTCACATTTAAGGTTTCAAAGAGAGAGAGAGAGAAAGAAGTTGAGAAGTTTGAATCTTCGGATAAAACAAGGAAAGGGAAGTAACTGTGGCAAAGGAACGAAGTGGATTACCCAGACATGGGAGCATACACCTGAAGGGACAACTCTCATGTCAGGTTTCTATGAGCGACTAAACCCGCCCGCCCCAAGGCATGGTATTTTCAATCGCGTCTCATGTGTATGAAAGTTGGACACTCAATAAAGGCTGAAGGAGAGGGAAAAGATGAGTCTTTCTACTCCTGTAAATAGTTAGTCTGGGAAACCCACAGGGACAGTTCTATCCTGTCATATAAGGTTGCCGTGAGTCAGAAATTAACTTAATGACACTGGGAATATGCATGTGAGAGTTGGACATTGAATAAAGAAAAACAAAGAAGAATCGATGCATTTGAAGAATACTGAAAGTACTAGGGACTGCCAGAAGAACAAACAGATCTGTCTTGGAAGAAGTACAGCCAAATGCTCGTTAGAAATGAGGACCGTGAGGCTTCATCACACCTACTTTCGAAAGGCTAAGAGGAGAGCCCAATCCCTGGAAAAGGACGGTGTGCTTGGCAAAGTGGAAGAGCAGTGAAAAGAAGAAGATGTTTCATGAGATGGATGGACACAGTGGCTACAACAACGGGCCCAAATGTGGGAACCATTGTGAGAATGGTTCAAAACCGGGCAGTGTTTCATTCCACTGTACACAGGTCACTATGAGTCAGAGCCAGCTAGAGGCACCTAACAACGTAACAAAAGCTGCTGGCTTTTTTGCAGATATGGTTGGTTTTTTGTCTGTTTTCCTTTCTCCCTCTCTCATTTTCTAGAAGCTTTTATTTGTTTGCTTACAGGAGAAATAGAAAAGATAAGTACCTTCAAATATCACATGGCCCCCACCACCACACACATACAAAGACAACCATGACTGTGAAAAGCCAGCATCCCACAAAGTAAGATGTATGATATTCTTATGAAACATTCACATCAATTTTGTCAAGCTTTGTCAATTTTATAAAGCTTTTGTCAATTACTAGTTGGAATCCACTTATTTCTCCACCATTCCAATGGCGGAGTTTCCCCTCCACGAGATACAATACTTTGAACATTATCAGTAACAACAATGGCAGTTCTCCTTCAAGCTGCGGAGCCCTAAATGGCTACTGGACCATTTTGGACACATCCGGTCTACTCTTTGAAAGATAAGCCATTCAGAGCAAAGCTTCATTATAAGAGCCAGCATTTATTGAGCACTTAGCAGGGTGTTTTGTGTTTTTCAGGCATCGACTCATTTCATCCTGAAAACATGCTGTCAGGCAGGTGCAATTATTATCACCGTCTTAGGGAAGAGGAGCATGAGGCACAGTGAGAATCAAGGAGCTGCCAACCATATACAGAGGGATATACAGAGGGTAGCAGGAATGGCTGGATTTCTGTCCCCCTAAGCCAACGCTCCTAATACGAACCTAGAGACAGACCTCAAGGGGAAATAGCCATCACTTCAATGAAAACACACACACTGAGAATACAAGGGATGAGGTGGGATGGTCACTTTAAAGTGAGGTGGGGCGGAGGTTGAGAGAGCTGAAGAGCTAGTATACTATTGTTTGTTTTTATTTCTTTTTCATCTGATTGTCACAGGAACAATAAAACAGAATGTCTTTTAAATGCTTCCCTTCCCTGGTGTGAGAATGCACTTCCTCTACAACACAGGAGTCTGAAAGAAGGGGATAAGCCTGTTTGTTCCTGCCAGATGAGTAGAGAGTAGGACATAGTGCGTTGCCTTGAGAGAGTGTGTGGGAGGGGGAAGGGAGCGAGAGAGTGGGGGAAGAGGAGGGAGAAGGAGAGGGAGGGGAGAGGGAAGAGGAGGGAGAGGAAGAGGCAGGGGCAGGCGGGGCGGGCAGGCAGGCAGAGACTGGAGGCTGCACAAGACAACAGTTAATGATATCCCCACAGCCCTCTGCAGCTCTCATCAGTGGAGGCTGCACGAATGTGAACACACACACACACACACACACACACACACACACACACACACACTTCCAACTCTTCTTCCCAGAGAGAATCGGGTGGCCAGCAAATTGCTTGGCAAGGCTTGGAGGAGACTCCATCCAAATCCCCGCCGGGTCCAGCCGCCTCTGAGCGCTGTCCAGCGGGCAGAGCGTCTGGGAGTCCAGGCTGGGGTCTCATCTCCAGACACCCCAGAGGCGGGGCGGGGGGCCCAGGCCGGGATTTCAGGGGTTAGGGAGAAAGGCACCGCCGACCGACCGTCTCCAGGGACACCTGTTGTCGCTGTCGCACTCAGGCCAATGAAGACATGCCGGCACCCCAGACCTCCGGGGAAGAGACCGGTTGGCAAGAAGTGTCTAGGATGGGGGCTCCGCGAGCGTTTCCACCCTACCCGGCAGCCTGGCCTTAGGCCGACTCTCTTTGTAGCCGCTCCCCAACTCCGGGACGCCCGAGGCTGGCTGCGATGTCGCACAGAACCCGAGCTGTGGCCCAGGCAGACTTAGAGGCAACAGGCGTGCCCGGTGCCCCCCGGGAGCGGGGAAGCCACGCGGCGCTCGGACCTCGCGGCCAGACACCCCTGCCCGCTCCACCTGCGGAACGTGGGCTCCGACTCCCCTCCCAAGGCGCGCGCTCCGTGCCCCGGGGGCGCGGTACCTGCGAGGCTTCCTGCGGTCCCGAGCGGTG